TCACAAATTAGGTGAGTGTGTTAACTAAGTAATTAAGTGCCCCTCAGGACACATGTACTAACTGCTGTCTTATTTTTATGATGTTAACAGCAAGCAGCCGGACTCCATATACCACAGAATGCCTGGCTATGAGGGGATGCTAGCAGTGCGTGAAGGACCAGGTTGTCCATACATCTGCTAAGCCTGAGTTGTTTTGTGTTAAAAAGTGAACATTATGATTCCACCTCACAGCCACGAGTGTGCCTTTGTTATGTGTTATATAGTGACATTTAGTAAAGCACCACGAAACCTCTTGCAGGTGGACTCTGTCACCCTCCTGTGTTGTCAGACCAGTATCCCCAGCCTGAAACTGAACCATCATATTCAAACTGGGAGTAAGTCTCCAGAAATATTTTGCACACTACACTGGTTACATCAAGCCTAAAATAGTTTTGACATTTGACATGACATTTGTGGTCATTAAAATGCCAAATCTTGCTTGCTTGTAATTATATACAGTGTACAACCTGTTGAGGCAAATACGAAGTGTCTGTTCTAACAACATGTTTTTGCTTATTGTCTCTTCATTACTTAAACAAAAAATGCAACTCGGTCTAAATTATTTTCAAGCAAAACATATTTGCTGTCACAGTAACAAAATTTATAGGAGACAAAGTAGAACTGTGACTAAATGAAATGTGTTTGTTGCTGTTAACTGGTGGTAATCCCTTAACCACTGGAATGCCATCATACAGATCATGTAACATTTTTGAGACCATAATTTAAAACCCAGTTTGTTTTGGACGGACTTTAACATGCAGTTGAACATAACTGGATAAACTTAATAAAGTGACTAACTTGTGAATTTTCTCATTCTTGTGTAAGTGTGCACTTTCAGCTGTTGAGAAATGTCTGTTTTACAGTTTCCCAACCCCCAGTAAGGAAGATGCTCGGCGAGCCCTCATCAAGTATGTGTCAGAGCAAAGCTACGACAGCACCAAACCAGCAGAGCAGTGTGTGATCACCAACATGGAGGCATTTGATATATACAAAGTAGGAAAGTTAAAGCGACTTATTCTCATGTACATAATGGGTGCATCAATATTGTTTAAGGCCAATTTTTATCATCCCAAGCCTATCATTTGAGTGTATATTTGAGGCATCCTATTCCTTTATATACTGAGAGGAGAAGCAGGTAGTACAAGTCAAGTGTTGTCTTACAGAATGCGCAAAACTGTTGCCAACGCTCAAGAAACCTAAGGCAGAAAACGTAGGCCAACTTTTTTTTAGTTTTTTATTTAGCATTGTACATCAGATTGAAACAACATTTAACAGAGAAGTTAATCAACTGCTTTGGCCTGTGTTGCTTCTATCAAACTGTGATCTGTTTATGTTCTGCTTTCTTCAGTATAGCCTGGAGACATACATGGAGAAACGAACTACAGTGTGGAGTCGTGTGCCGTACATTGGTAAAGCTCTTTGTTCAAACATGCACCTGAGACAACACAGCCAAGAAACATTTAGTCATGACCTCAGATGCTCAGACTTGATCACAGTGTGTGAAGTATAACAGTATTATGTGTTTATGCGTCAGGTCAGAAGATAGACATGAGTGAACAAACCCCACCCTTACCATGGGAGATTCCAGCTAATGCCCCTACGCTTTTTCAAAATGTAGAGCAAGCCATTCAGGTGCCACACACAACATCTGTGCAGGTACGGGTCCCATCTCACAGTGATCATTCTGAACATTCAGAGGGGAAAACTTTACACAACCTATTCAGTACAATAGGCAATGATGCTAAATATTAA